GATGGCGGTGATTATGAGTTGTTGCATGAGACATTTATGCAAGTTGAGCCTGGGCTTTCTGAGCTCGTGCGAGTTAAAGGCATTCCGGAAGCTTGTGATAGTTTGAGGCAGCTCCTGGATAAAGCTGTAGAAGTTGTTCCTGCTGATCTCCGGAAGCGTATACATGTTCACGTTCTCGCCACTGCGGGGCTGCGATTATTGGAATCAGATAAGGTTGATGCTCTTCTTAAAGAGCTTAGGAATTTAATTAATAATGAATATTCGTTTGAAGCAGGAAAGATTGATGTTATGGATGGTAAAGATGAGGCATTGTTTGCTTGGATGACGATAAACTATTTGATGTCGCGCCAAAATGCTCAGGCTAAGAGCAAGAAGAGGGCTGTCATAGAAATGGGCGGCGGCTCAGTACAAGTCATATTTCCTATTGAACACTCAAATTCCAAAGATTTATTTAACCATGAAATTCACCCAAACAATTCGCATTACTATGAAACTGCACTGGTTAATGGCGAATATGTTCTGTTTTATCAACATAGTTATTAAGGTTATGGTTTAATGGAAGCCAGGAAATTAGCATTGAAAAATTTGACACCTTTTAGTCTTGAAGAAGTTGAGGAATTAGTATTTAAGCATCCATGTCTTCCAAAAGATAAAGATATGAATTTGAAAGATGAAGGAACAGTAATTGTATCACATTTGCACTCAAAGTATATTGATGTCGATGGGAAGACTACAATTGATGACTTGAGTTTGGTTTATGATGAGTGCACAGGTTTAGTCAAGTCACTCTTCACAGAACAAGAATGTCTCACCGAAAAATGCTCTTCCATCAGTGGAACTCATCAGCCAGATATGGGACATATTGATGAAATATTTATATTCTCATACTTTTACGACAGGACCCGTCAATTATTGGGATTAGATTCTGCGGTTCATGAACAAGAAGACGTCAGCGAATGGACTCTGAATGATTTGAAACACCTCTCACGGCTTGTATGCTATTTGTCTTACCACCCAACAATTTCTGAAGAGGAAAGCATGCATTTAATTGAGTCTTTATCAAATCATCTTGTGAAACATTTTGACAGTGCTCAAGCGCTCATAACACATGTGCTTTCAAAGATTGAACAGAATGATCATCTATGCTTTGATGTCAGGTTTATACATGAGATTCTAGTTGCGCTGGTTGGAAATGTTCATGATAAGAAGGTTGTTATTGAGAAACGCATTGAAGGTATCGAAGTTGGCTGGTGTCTGGGATGGATAATATCTTGGTTACAGCAGAATCCTGAGGGCTATGAAGAAAGTAATAATTAGCAGTTTGCTCCAATTGCTGGATAATTTGAACCGGAGCGTTGTAATCATTTAATCTATTTATAGATTTTAACTCCTTTTCTTTAAATAGTTTCATGGAGAGCGACAACCGGGTAATTTCTGCCAATAAAGTGTACAGATACGAATACAACATGATAAGAGAAGCTCCGGTGTTGGAGGAGTATATGGGACAATTTTGGGACCTTCCAGAACCCACGGAAGAGAAAACTGAAACAGCAAGAACATACAAACTTCATGAAAGATCATACAAGATTACCCACGATCAAGTCAATGCGCATTACTATGGCGCCAAACCCGTAAATCCGAAACAGAGTTTGGCTACTGAAAAAATAGAGCAGTTCCTTAGAGAACTGCAAGCAATATCCGCCGAGAAGAATCAACTTCAAACAGCATCTCCTAATACAGGGAACAAACATCCGCGACAAGGCAAAAATCAATAATTGTAATATTATATTTATAGAAACTTAAGAATCATTAGACTTTGACTTGTTCGCGTCTTCTTCGGCGGCTATTTCTTCCTCCTCGTCCGCTTCTTTTTGTGCTCTGGCTTTCGCTCGCATGCGGCACAGTATCTGCTGATGCGATCTAAATAAAGTGTAACCATTATGACCAGGAAAGTATTCACTTATCTTCCCGTATCGCCTTCCATATTGTTCTATCAGCTTTAGGAATCTATCATAGTCTTCTTCTTTTAGCAGTTGTCCGTAATTCACGCCTGGTTCCAGAGATGTTTTATACTTTAGCCTACACTGCAATGCAGATCTACTACGTACATAACAGGAAACAAGTTGCCAGAAGTGGTCTTCGTGTGTTCTGTTGCGGTATCGATTGAGAGCATTCTTGAGCTTCCGTACCTCATCAGCAGACCAGTATCCCTGTTTGTACTCTCGGAAGCCCTTGAGGGTTAACAGATGCGCATATCTCGTCTGGCATCGACTGCCATTCCGGCGATTTCCCATTAATTTTGCAACAGCTGACCAATTTCCGTATCCAGCAACGTCAACAGCTTTTAGCAAACTCTCATCCTCTTCCGGAGTCCATCGACCCTTCTTCAGTGTCGGATCTAACCGCCTATTGTATTGCTGATAGCATTGAATGTAGCTCTTTGTGCCAACATATTCCGCGATCTTGGCCCAGGAATTGGGTAAGTCTTTGTACATTTCGTAGGCCGTCTTTAATCGCTCCTCCTCTTTAGGCGAAAAAACGTCCATGAACTTCTTTATTGGAACTTTAGTGGAATAGCACGCCTGTGGTCGGATGAACGGCGCGAGCCTGAGCGGGAAAAGTGTCTGACGTAGAATGATCATCTCACAGAAACGAAGTGTCAGAAGCCGATAATGATCATCAAGAGGTATCACGACTTCCTACACAGTATGCGCTTTGCCTACAAGTTTTATGTGACAAAATTTCTCTAATTCTATCCGGTGAAACTTTTCTATTGAAACTGATGAGAGATTTGTTGCGCAAATTCGTTGGCAGCCCTTCTGAGTTCACGGAAAAGGATTTTGAGGAGTCGCTGCGGAGTATTTTGGATGATAAAGCAACGCCTGGACAAATAGGAAGTTTCATTACTCTTTTAAGGCTTCACAATAAGGAGAAGGATCCTGTTTGGATAGCGACAGCTGCTCGAGTGATGGCCAGTTATGCTGTGCCGGTAAAAAATGTTGAGCTTTTAAAGGATGTGATGATAGCTGATATCGTTGGGACTGGTGGAGATGGCTTTGATACTTTTAATGCGTCCACTGCGGCTGCGATCGTTGTTGCTGGTTGTGATGTTGGCATTGTAGTTGCTAAACACGGCAACAGATCCTCAAGTTCAAAATGTGGTTCTGCTGACTTATTAGAAGCCGCAGGTTGTCATTTGGATAATGTTAATTCGAATAATCTATGTGCAACTCTTCTTGAGACAGGTTTTAGCTTTCTGTTTGCGCAAAGCTATCATCCTGCTTTGAAGAAAATCGGTGGCATACGAAAAGAATTGGGATTTTACTCCATCTTCAATTTAATGGGACCTTTGCTCAACCCTCTGAAGCCAAAGTACATGGTTGTTGGAGTGAATTCAAAAGAAAGTGGTCACACTGTAGCCCAAGCATTACTATCTCTGGGAATCGAACGGGCTCTTGTCGTTAATGGTGCTGAGGGTCTTGATGAGATCAGTCCTGAGGGTAAAACAAATGTATGGGAGATATTAGGTTCGAAAGGCTCTATAGAAGAAAAGATCATATCGCCACAGGATGATTTCGGATTGAGTCCAGTTCCAGTAAAATCAGTTAAAGGCGGATTTCCAAAAGATAATGCCCTGAAACTTGAAGATATGCTAAATGGTACACTTTCACAGGATGATCCGATAGTTCAGTTTGTTTGTATGAACGCATCTGCATTGCTGTATGTTTGCGGTAAAGCTAATTCATTATCAGAAGGAATGATTATGGCTCTGAAAAGCATTTATACTGGTGCTTCCAATAATGCATTTGAGAAATACAAAAGATTTATTGTAGAACGTAAAAATTGATGAAGTTCTGCTGCAGTTCCTCCGGAACAAACTGTTGCCAATAATCAGCATCCATCAGAGTGACTTGGAAGCATTCTTTAGCTTTTAATAGAAAATCTGTCTGTGCACTTTGATTTCGAACTTCAGTCATGCACAAAACTACAGGTGAACTCTTGAACATCTCGATACACTTTCTCTTGATTAGTTTCAGCGTATTGACCAATGCTTCAGCTGAGGCCTCGGAATAAATACAATCGGACAGTAATATCACATCCAGCGATAGTGCTTCTCGCTTCAAATGTTTCAAGATTGCATCAATCTCTGGCACACAAGCATCATCAGAACTCCACTTAAGATGATAAGCACTAAGATTTCCGTTATCCCTGTTTAGCGCGACGTTCCGCTCAAGTTCTTTCAATAGTTCAGGTATATCAGAAGCTATTGCGTATTTGCCCAGTTTAGACGTGGCGATCGAGGGCAAACCAGTGACACCAGAGCCAAGTTCCAGAAATGAAAACAGAGTATGGTGATTAATTCCAGGTACAATAAGATTTCCATCACATAGTGCTTCTAACAGACAACATAGCACGATGCTTGATGTCCACAGATATCCACCCAAATGATTAGAGTGCGGATTTTGATAGATGCTGATGCTTGATATTCGCGATTTTAGAAAATGAATCGTAATTTCCTGTGCAGACAGAACATCCCAGCGGTCCACAGATTTCAGTCCGTCTTTTACAAAAGGTTCTCCGTCTTCCCAGCCCTTTAGCGTGAATTCAATCATCAGTTTGATTCTGTTTAAAAACGGAAAGAAGCGAAATGATTCTCACTATTCATTGAAGAAAGATTCTTGGTCAAGTTGCTTATGAGCCATCGGTGTTCTTTCTTGTCTACAGGAACACGTAGAAATTGAAATCACAGAGGCTTCGAACATAACAAGTCGCAAAGGTTCAGACATACTGGAATCTGTTAAATATCGATCAAGGTGAAACCAACAAGAGGTATCAAGTGTCAAACATCGCTGAGTCCAATTTTCACGTCTGTTTTAAAACAAATAAAGCTTCAAAACCAACGTGCCACCAGAGTCTAAAACTGGAGGCATAAAAGTTCATACAGAAGCAGGGCTAAAATTATAACTGCTAGGCAAAAAGGGACACATTGTATCCTTGTATGACCCGAGCGTGGATTGAACACGCGACCTTTAGATTGCTTGTCGTTTGACTTCAGTCTAACGATACTCCCACTGATCTATCGGGTCGATAAGAAAAGTAAGTTGCGATTCAGGTTTAGTATGACTGCAACGAAGTCCGCAAACAATAACTTAACTTGTCGGGACGTTACTGAATGGCTTGAAAGCAATTTTTCAGCTGTTGTTTGCCTGCAGATCGAATCGAACGGGACAACTTTGGTTTCACATGTAGTAAGCTGCAAGATCGTCAGTTTGTGACGAGGCAGATATGAGATCTTTCGTGCCATAAGATATTGAATGACAAAAATATCTGTTTCGTTAATTAAAAAGGCATGTGTGAAGAACGCCCGAAGTGGAAACATGGCAATCAATTTGTATCGACTCAACCAGCATACTTCGAAAAAAAGCAAGTCTTTAAGTATATATATATCCCTTTCCGATATACTTGGTGCACTCGAACCTATTTGAATAGTGTGGCTGGTATCAAAACGCATGTGGCTGAAGCAGATACATTGTCTGCATCCTTTTAGTGACACCCTTCGAATAGACTGGAAAATACCTATTGAACTTTCTTGAAACGTTTCGTGACCGTTTGAAACTTCCATCTGACCCTGGGAAGTTGCATATGGCTTACGAAAACTTGCGGCCGTCATGTGGTGCTGATCAATTTGCTTACGCATAAAAATCGCCAGAATTTACATTCTATCCCTACCTTCAATTCCACGTTATCCGATTAAAAGTAATTTCTAACGCGTAGAACCTGTTCATCTAATTTTGTAGAATGAAATTCTTGTCATTGATCGCATTCGCTGGTGTCGCTTTCGCTTGTGCTGAAGAGCAAAAGACTTACAACTCTAAGGATGTTCAAGAGCTTGGTGAGCTTTTCGGAAAATTCGAAATGATGGCTGCTGATGCTAAGGGAGAAAAGCGTAAGGATTCATGTGTTCACGATATTTTTGGTGGTGACAAGAAGTCTTTTGTTTGTCCTTTGGGTCTCGAATCTGTTAATGGTGAATGCTTTGAGCCGTGCCAGGATGGTTTCAAGCCGTTGCACCAATTCTGTGTTCCAACTTCTCTTGTTGCAAACTCTCCTTTGATGCCTTACAAGCGTGAAGCTGCCGCAGTCCACGTCTCTCTTGGACCTCACGAGTGCCCTACTAGTTTGCCTTTCCGTTGTGACATTTTTTGCACAAAGGATGAAGGCGCATGCAAACAGTTGGAGTCCGATATTGAATACTTCATTGTCTTATTTTTTCAAAAGCTTCTTGATGGTGATCTCTTTGACATTCTGCTTACCATTAAGGACATTTATGAGTTCGCTGTTTCATTTCCACTTTGTGAACGCACTGCTGTTGCTGAAATTGTCACTGAGTACTTGAGAATCACTGTTTAAGTGTTTTCCAACAAATGAGATCTCGCTGGTAAATAAAGAGAATGTAATAATTCTAAAGGGTACGCTTGTCGTCATGTTTAAAGTAACTATTAGTTGCGAATTAATCGAATTGACGATTTTATGTCGTATCAAGCAGTTTCACACGTGAAAATGCTCCTGAAGAAAATACCCCTGACGGAACTTTTTTTCTCACGGAAATGAAATCAAGTATTTTATGCTTTGCCTTGATACTGCTCATAACCGCCTACACGAACGCTGGTCCTGTTGGTAAAGAAACACAATCACTATTTCTTGATCTTCCGGATGAGATCTGGACACATCATATTCTTCCAAAAATACCTGCTAGGGATGTTGGTGACTTGCGCCTTGTGGACAAAAAATTCAACTTTGCTGTGAACTCGCGACTTAAGAGCTTTTTGCCTGTGGCTGAAGCATGTGACAAGGGAACTGCTAAAGATTTCGTCAAGCAACAATGGTCCGCGGATTATCAAATGGCTCCTTGGCTGACCATTAATAATCAAACTACAGCCGAAACTGTTCATAAGTGCCTGCGGGCCACAAAGATTTGGGTTGAGACACTCGAAGAACCGCAAGATATCAAATTGAAATTGACTTTGTTTTATCCGAACATAACAGCTGATTTCCTTTTGGACAAAGATCTGTTTGCTATTAGAGGAAAAGCACGCTTATCGCTTGAGCTCTTTGTAACAGAATCTCGACGGCCTGTTGACAAAGTGTTTAAGGCGGTATCAGACAATGAATGCATTAAATCATTGGATATGTCAAGCAACCATATGGGTGATGATCAAATCGCAAAACTGGCAACTATATTGAAGAAAAATACAGCGCTTCAAAGACTCGATCTAACTCGAAATGGAATAAGCCCAAGAGGTGCAAGATCCTTGGCAAACGCTTTGAAAACAAACACCGGGCTGTTGGAACTGGAGTTGGGGTCTAATGTTGTAAAAGACGAAGGCGCATTAGCAATAAGTGAAGCACTAAAGAAGAATGGAAAACTTCGAACCTTAATATTGGCGTCAAACGAAATTGGTGATGAAGGTGCAATCGCTTTGGCTGAGGCGTTAAAGAATAATACTTCACTTGAAGAATTAGGATTGAGTTTCAACAGAATTTCGGTTGAAACAAAGAAAGCGATGTTGTCGTTGGCCGCAAAGAAGAAGACCAAAAACGGAGAGCATTTCATCCTAAGGATATGATATGATGTTGATTGAGTCAATAGCAATTTTGGTCTCTCATACAATCCGGCTTTTGTCAATTATCATAAGACGCTATACCTTTTGTGATTGAATTTTCACGGTTTCCGGTTGTTTTACTTTTTCGTGGCCCTTACTCGGCATATGGACAGCGACCAAGAATTGCGTTCAAGAAAAGTTTTCGAATTAACTCCTGCTGCTCAACAGTTGCCGGAGTCTTATTCTTCCCGTAGATCCTCATTCTACCATAGAGAATGTTACGAAGAATATTACCAGTACATTTACAAGGGTTTGAAAGAAGATCATCGCATAATCCCTTTAACAGGAACGCCAGGCATCGGAAAGTCAGTATTCTACATGTACTTCTTCCAGCGCTACAGAAAAGAGAACCCCACCGTGACAATTGTAACTGCATCTTTCACTGATTCAAGATTATTCAAGTATTGCGTCGTGTACTGGCCAGGGAGAGAAAATGGCGAGAGTTTCTATACAAACATTCCGAACATTGAAGGCGCTATTCACTTTTATGATGGCCCTCCAGCATTCGAACCATCAGGTAATCAAATGGTCACATTCACTTACCCGAGCTACGAATGGTTTAAGTATTGTTCGAAATACATCGGAACGTTGACGCTGTTCATGCCATTCTGGACATTAAATGAATTGCTAGAGGCAAATGATTATGTTGGTTTGGGTTTTAGTCATGAAGAAATTGAGAAAAGATTCAACTTTTTTGGCGGTACCGCTCGCTTGTGCATATCGTTCAGTGGATGTAATTTGATTCAATGGACAGGTTATTTGAAGGGCGCCACTAAATCTATCGAGTCTTTTGATCAGATGGAAGCTTGTTTTGTAATGGACATTAAAATGGAAAGAATCAGCGAACAACTATTCTTCTATGTGCCTGAATTTGATGAAGATCGTAAGTATCCGACATCAAGCAAGTTTGTCTTTTGTTCAGCAAAAGTGGCAAGGTTGGTGTATAAAAATATTACCGATAAAAGCGAAAAGAAGAGACAAGATTTTCTGACTAGCATAAATGACTTTTCAAAGCGATCTGAAATTCGTAGCTGGTTGTTTGAAGGATACTGCATGGAGAAGCTTATCAAGGGAGGAGAGTTCTCTTTAGTTCCGCTTAGTCATGGGGTGTCTAACAGAGGGTCAGTCTCCGGCTTGAACCTTGAAATTCCCTTGAATTCTTATGTTCATGCAAAGAAGAAGGACTTTGAATCTATTGATGGTCATTACTATGATGAACCACAAAATACGCTATATTTGTTCCAGACAACAACAAAACAAACACATCCTGTCAAAGCCCGTGCCATTTTGAAACATTTAGAATCGATGAGATTGAGCAACACTGATGGCTTGAGTGTTAATTTGGTATTTGTTGTTCCGAAGGGAATGAACGATTTTGAAAAGCAAGAAATTGTTATGGAAGATGTTTTTGGTGAAGGAATTGCCAACTTTCAACAGTTGCAAGAAGCTTTACAAACAAGCCAAAGATTGCAGCAGTGCGACAAAAGAGAGAGATAGAATGATTTCAATGACATTGAAAGTCAACAAGAATTGTTGATAGGAATCAGTCAATACTTGTTGGTAACAGAAGGTGATTATGCGAGAACTGATGGTTTCTTTGATGAATGGCGTGAAAGAATCAGTCGTTAAACTAAGGTCTTGACAATAAACAAGCCGCAGAAAAATCTCGAATAAGAATAAAAGCTTACGAGAGATGACAAAGGCTGATCTTGCTCTACGGACGTCTTCACATTATTTATTCATTCTTTTCTGTCACTTTCTTCTTGTACAAGTCTTCAGCTCTTATCCAGACTTTGCTGTTGGCTCTGTCCTTCAATTCAAGAAGGCTGGGGAGCAGATCCTTGCAGAACTGTTCGCTGCTTTCTCTTGGTAACATTGAAGGCAAGTGATCAATTGAAACCACATCAAACGGTTTTGAACCTGCTGTAACAGAGAGAGTTGGCTCTTTGAAATAAGTCAAACGATCGTAAACTGGAATAGGATTATTTGCATTTGTGATATCGCAACTAACATCAACCAATACTGTTATAGCACGATCCTTCTTCAACATTTCCTTGGTCAAGAATGGAGCAATAGGCTGAGTCAAGTAAATACAGTTCACAAATATTTCAGACTCAAGAATCTCTACAAAAGGACCGCCTTTAGCTGTTTCTGCCATATCCCATTTGACAATGTTTTCGTCCTTGATACCCAATTTCTTTGCAAAACCAACAGCACCAGATCCACAACGACCCAATGCGCCCATAACCATTATTTTCGGTTCTTTTCCATACTTCTTGACAGCAGCGTCATATCTAGGCTTCAAGTATGCCAACAGAGCAGCTTCATTAGGATAAGGGTTAATGCCTTTCAACGGCACGCCTGGCTCGAGTATTTGTTGACACCATGCATCAATTCCAACAGCTGACCCAGCAAATCCAGCA